AACTACAAGATACTTTTACTTAACCCTTCAGGTGTTATGGCCATTTCCTACTTCAAAATTTTTCCGACGGAAAATCTGTGTGGGTCAATCACATTTCACAAATTTTTTTTCTGCGGAAAATTTTCCTGAGTGGAAATGGGCCTTTATAAGGACATCAGGTTTGGACACGTGCCTTGTATGCATATATAGGAAATCATTTCATCTTTCAGGTCCAGTCTGAACTGATGATAGAGAAGAGACATATATTTGAACAAGAATTGGACAAAGATGTAAAGGTATGTACTGTACAGTTTTAGAGGTTTGCAATATGTTTAACCTGTAATGCACCTGAAACTGGTATACTCATGTGTTGAGAAATTGTAATGGGCAGAAGGTGGACCAATCTACAACACTATATATTTACAAAATTATTAAACAATCTATGAAATTATCTCTAAGCTATTAGTACGTATACGGCATTGAAATATCAACCGTTACAAATTTACAAATTTATTAAACTTGATATTATGAATGTCTGATATTATGATACTTGATATTATGAATGAATCTCTAAATCTATTGGTACGGTATTTTGGAATATTAAAAAGTTTATTATTCCTAAAATTATATTTGGATGTCACTTTAAGTGGCAGTAACTTACGAAGTTTGTGTTCTTCATCGTTTAAAATTGGAACGAAGAGTTTATTACATAGATCACCCCATCGCGCGTATAAAGTCTTTAGTCCTAACATGCACATGCATGTCTAGAGCGTCCTCATTGGATAGTTCAGGGTAAATAATACGTAGCGGTCTTTTTTAATCCTTTCGATTACATCTGAATCTTTTTTAATCCTTTCGATTACATGCATATTCAAGTATCGACCAAGTATCGAATAATGGCGAGCAAGTGACAATGGAAGACTAACGCCCGTATTCTATAAGCTCACTCACACTCAATGAGTGGAGGTTCAATCTGAGCTTCTCTTGAGTGTCATTGCTGTTTATGAATAGCTGGAGGGTTAGTGTCGTACCTTACTATGTGACTACTCACTCTCCAGCTATTCAAAAACAGCATTGACACTCAAGAGAAGCTCAGATTGAACCTCCACTCATTGAGTGTGAGTGAGTTTTTAGAATACGGGCGTTAGAACGACACAACACTAATAAATCTAAGACAATTTATATAATGTTCACAAATAAGAAATTGTGATATGAAATTATTGCTGTGGTTGAGCATGTGTTATTGACTATATCCCACTTGCCATTTTCATGTAGCGTTTTGTGGTCGAAGTGATTCAGTTCCGTAACAGTTTTGATTCTCAAGGCCCTGGAGTACCTGGCGTTCTTCCAGCAGATGCCGTGGAAAGATTACATAATTTTCAAAATGCATACTCTGAATATGAAGCGAAGAGGAAGATACTTGATGCAGTGCAGTTGTTGTTTGGTGTCACACCCACACATTACCCTGAGCTCGACAGAACTGGTGAGGTAAGTCTATACAGGATGTATAAAAAAAAACTGCACAGTTCTGAAACGACCACTAAACTGAAAATTACGAAAAATTTGTCACAACTTTATGTTATAGCATGAGTAATTTGGGCCAGGGTGCTTGAATACATAAGGGGCGGACGATTCGAAAAGTGATGAGGGTGTGGGAGGTTTTTAACTTGTACGAATATTTTTTTTAATTTTTCACTTGTGTCATAATTTTTTTTAACATATAATCTCTTCCACGAATTTGTTTTTTTAACTTATAATTTTCCCAATTGAAAAGTCTCTGCACGAATTTTTTTTCAAACTTTCTTGGTGTACGAATTTTTCTCTTTCTATTTCCCCTGCGCGATTTTTTTTATCCCCCCCCCCCCATCACTTTTCTAATGGTCCGCCCCTAAGCGGCCTGCTTTGGGCCATTCTGGTATCCCAAATTATTCTGACAAGTAAATTTTCGAGTCTAGCTGTTTCACAAGCCATTTATATCTGATATACAACACGGCACCCATGTTGTAAATGGTTCTTGTTGTTTCTTAAGGAATTGGTTCTACTTGGATTGCTCTATGGTTTGTTTCAGCAGTATATTTCCTTTGATCAAAGGTAAGCATATAGTTTCTACTTATTTCTCAAGTATTACTCTAGCTATCCCTTACCCCATTGAAGTTTTTATCAATGAACCCTTAAAATAATCATTGATTGCCATCCTATTTTCTGACGTAGATTCTTGCACTTCACTTGGTGGAATTAATATTAGAATGTTAGGGTTTGGAATCCAAGTGAGAATATATACATTTTAAGACCTAACTTGTGCTGCATTTTTCGCAGTCGTTCCTGGTTAGGTCTTAAAATGTATATATTCTCACTTGGATTCCAAACCCTAACATTCTAACATCCTATTTTCTGCCCTTCTTGTATTTCAGTTTTCGTGAGAAACTTTGGGCTGATGTGGATTTAATTAGTGCCAACCGCGAGGTAAGAGACAATTACGGGAAAAAATTTAATTTTCCAATAACGGTGTTTAATTAAATATTTACCCCGGCTGAAACTATTCGTGACAAAACTTTTACCATTGTTGATTGTTATAAATCCCCCCAAAAGTAATTTAGTAAAGACCTCGATTTAATGGTATTTTAATTTTCCCTGTGAATCTGAGAGGCGTCAGCCAAGGACAGCTTTTAAAATTTAGATTTTCAATAGCCTCCTCCACAGAACATTTTGCCCGATAATCGAAAGGCGATGCCTGCGGAGGAGGCTAGATTTTCAATTTGTTCCCCATAGGTTGAGAGCGACTGGCAACAATGTTTGAGGTTACCAGAACGAATCCAGGAATGGCAAGCCTACAAGGATATGAAATCATATATCAAAGAATATCTTGATGTTTTTCCAATATTACATAAACTTGCATCGAAGGTAAGTTTAAGATATTTTACAGGGTGCGAATTAAGATTTTTTCTGGCCTACAATGAATTTTAAAAACTGTATACATACAAATTTCAATTTTGACCTATAAAAGGTTTCTAATTAGTTTTAGTAGTTTTGTTTTGCGATGAAAGTTAGTTTTTTGTTTCTCTTTCGCTGCTAAGAAAAGTATCTGAACTACACAGATATTTTATCTTTTGATGGATTATTCCTCTGTTTTGCATGTTTAAAACGCAAAATTTTCAGATGGATTAAACTATCCTTTCTTTCCCTAGTTTGTTAAGATGGTTCATCATGTTGTAATAAGGAACTTTTACAATACTGTACTTATGGATTTATTTTTCAGGAAATTCGTAACCGCCATTGGCTGCAAGTTATGAGTGTGACCGGCTCCTCTTTTCAACTTGAAGCAAATGTATTTAAATTGAAGTATCTTCTTGATATTGAATTGATCAAGTAAGGAACGTCCTATGTAATATATCATACACAAGGAGCCAGCCTGGCATGATGATTGCATGGTGTCAGGTTACAGATAGTTTAGAAACAAACCACAAAAGCTTATGGTAGAATACTACCTATATGTGATGCCACATTTGAGATATCTTTTTCAGATAGTTCAGAAACAAACCACAAAAGCTTATGGTAGAATACTACCTATACATGTAATGCTATATTTGAGATATCTTTTTCAGATAGTTCAGAAACAAACCACAAAAGATTATGGTAGAATACTACCTATATGTGCCGCATTTGAGATATCTTTTTCAGATAGTTCAGAAACAAACCACAAAAGCTTATGGTAGAACACAACCTACACAAGATGCCACATTTGAGATATCTTTTTCAGATAGTTCAGAAACAAACCACTACAGAGTACCCCTAACTTCGCATCTGGTACAAAACAAATGATGCATCTATAATATATTTTTCAATCTTATGTAGTCACCAGGATGAGATCAAAGACATCTGCAGCAGTGCCAGTCGTGAACTGGAACTTGAGGTGAAAATGAGAAGTACTGAAGAAGAGTGGACCGAACAGGTGAGATTGACCATCTTTAAAAAGCCAGAGATTACTACCGTGTAGTTAGCTACTGGTAATTATTTATGGCTGGGGGTGGCACCAAAGAGAAAAGGGTTGGGTAAACAAAATTTTGATTGAGTATAAAAGGTTGGGTAAATGAAAAACAAAACAACTCAAGGGTTGGGTGACAAAAATTTATTGTAATTTCCAAAGCATGAGTAACTCAAATATTGAAGACTAGAAAGCAATGTCCACAATACAATCAGAGTCACTATGTTGATCATTTTCCGATCTGTCAGGAGGCAAATGGTGTCTCCAAAGAAAATACATGTGCAGACAACATGAAACTTTAGACTGCAGAAAAATGCACAAGCAGTTATCAAACGATTTCACAGAAGTGGTAAAGGACATGTGTGACAACTGCATGAATGGTATCCTTTTGTAACGTTTTTGGCCAGGAGTGGGTATTTATTTCTTTTTATTGATATTTGTGTTTGGGTAAAATTTTTTTTACTTTTTAATGGTTGGATCAGAAAAAACCCTTTTTCTTTGGATCAGAAAAAAAACCATTTCTCTTTGGTGCCACCCCCGCCATGAATAAGGACTGGTCCCTAAACTATGTTTTGCACTATCCCATTTAGTTCATCTATTCAAAGTATATGTTATCTTTTTTTGTTTCATGTAGGTTCTACAGTTTGAGAAATTCAAAGATGGTGCCATGTACTGTCTGAGTAACCAACATACAGAAGGTTTACTGGAGCTCCTTGAAGACGCACAAAGCTCTCTGGCCATGATGTTAACTTCGAAATATATCGGACCACTTCAACATGAAGCTGCAGCCTGGGCCATGAAATTGAAAGAAATTAGCGAAGTTCTTGAGCAGGTAGAGAGAAAATGTGTTTGCTGTAAATAACATTGTTAACACAGTATCAGCATATAGCCTTTATGCAGATCATATGTATGTGCAAACCGTACCTAATTAACTAGAGGTTTTCTATTGTGTAAATTTTATATATTTATTAGATCTAACCGGGAACAGTTACGAACAATGTAACTATAGCTGCAATATTCTAAGGTTGACACTTGTACTCTCATTAAGATTTGCGCGCTTAGAGTTCAAGGTTTAGAGTTTAAGGTTTGCAAAGGACAACCTTCTTTAAATTAGCTGTATATACACTAATGTGATGCTAGTGTAAGGTGTATGGGTAAATATCAGCGTTTTGGGCATTTACTGATATTTCACCGTACAGATCAGAGTAGTTCCATTATTCTAAAGAATATGTTTTTTTAGTGGCTTGCTGTTCAAGATTTTTGGCGTTACTTAGAAGCTGTGTTTAGTAACCCAATTACAGCCAAGGAGCTTCCACACGAATTTGCAAGATTTGCTCGAGTTGATAAAAGTTACATGAAGATGACAAAACGCGCTCATGACACAAAGAATGTCTTGCAGGTAACAATAAATATTCCACCGAAACTATTTCTCAACGTTTTGAATGTTTCTAGGGATGAACCGGGTGTCATATCTGCCCGGATAGTCAGATAATCTCATTATCTTCTATCTGCCCGGATACCAGTTATTGTTTATTCAGTGTTCAGGCCTCCTTTTAAAGGCAAAAATGAGGTTAGGGTAAAACGCGGATGCGGACAGTCAGAGAGCGGACGGACGGATGAGAGGGTAAAATGCGGACGGACGAACGAGTGATTTTCACTTGAAATGATCGTAGAGAAGCTGGCAATATTTTCAAGATTTTTCATGCTTGCTTGGAAATGCCAAAAAAATGAGTTTGAAATTTGAAGGCTTTCCAACCACGCATGTTTATCGATGTTGAACTGCAAAGTCTATCCGGTACTCCCCTACCTATAACATATTAATTTTGTATCTTCCTTCTTCTTCAGTGTTGCGTTGGAGGAGATGTTCCTAAAATTCAGGTGTTGAAACATCTTTATGAGGAATTGGAGATTTGTTTTAAATCACTACAGGCTTATCTCAATGCTAGGCGAAAGGTACTGCAAAATTTAAGCTAACTATGTCACGTGTGGCTATAAAGTATGCCGGATTTTAGCATACCTTGTAGCCACAGTTTGCGTCTACAAAGTATGCCTGTTTTCGGCATACCGTACAGCCACGGTTTGCGGCCATTTTATAGCCACAGTAAACGGCAAACCTTATAACCACTGCTGCAGCTAAAACACTGAATGATTTGATGTACTTTAAAACACACTCTATCAATCCTATGTTCTAGGTTTTCCCAAGATTTTATTTCGTATCAGACCTTGTCCTCCTTGCCATACTCAGTCAACCATACACACTGGATTCTGTCAAACCTCATCTCAAGTAAGTTAGAATTACTGTATCTTAAGGTCGGTTCAAAAGTTTTCCACTTACCCCCCTCTCCCCAAATTTTCATCGGCTTGTAATAAATCTAAAACTACACTCAGCGCCATTGGCCTTCCAGCGAGAACAGTTGAAACATAAACTGCATGGTAGAGTTGTACGTTTAGTTTAGTTAAGTTTAGAAGACAGACTAGTCTGGTTCTCAATAGTAAGAAACTTGGTATAAATCAGATGTGAAGTAACATGTCTTTAATATCTCCATCAGGTCATTATTCGTTGGTTTGACTGACATAACATTAACACCACGTCCTGACGGTGTCAAAAGTGCTTGGAATATGGCTGTACTGAATGTCAAGAAAACGATAAAGGTACAAATCTTTATAGCAATGTAACGTAAACCTAATTGAGATAACATGATCAGATTCTAAGATAAATTTTAGATTCCAATTTACAGATATTTACAGATGATATCTATGTTGGTCTTGTTTGACATTTTTTTCTTCTGAATCATTTTTCAGGAGGACGAGGAACAACCAACCAGTAACCTGATCATACCACCGTATAGAAAAGTATCTCAGAACTTGCAATCAGAGCACGACTTAAGTCGTGCAATCAGTCGAAATCTGTCCACGTGTGTCTCGTCATCATCATATAATGAATGGAGAATCGTATTAAGTGATGCTGTTGCTGTGACCTCTGAGAAAGGAGAGACTTTAGAATTAAAGAAAGAGGTACTGGCAGACCTTGCATTTTGATGCGCGCTACAGTGGCATAACGGAGGAAGAGGGGAGGGGGGCTTCGGCATATTGTTGTGGGGCCCCTGTTGACTGTTGTCATTGTTTGATTGAGATATTATATTTATATTGAATATTTATAGAATTTTCCGGAAAATTCCCTGTCTATTTAACAATATCAATAACAGTCTCCAACACAAGTAACAACTAATAAGAATAACTTTTGTTTCATTTGAGATGGAATAAAAAAATCAGCTACCGTTGTCGACGGAGGCCTTATTATTTAGCATTATTAATTTTCAATTTTCCCATTTATTCTTAACCTGCATTTTTTACGTTTCCTAATTTCTGGGCGATAGGCCGTGGCTGATGGGGCCCCTAACTGTTGGGGACCCTTAGTTTTTAAACTAACCCTATCCATTGAGCGTTACGCCCATAGATATCTTATATACACTAGATAGTGCATCTCTTTTAGTAAAATTGAAGCCAAGAATATTCCAGCGGTTACCCCCATTCCACTTGCTAATAAACGCTTAAAAACAACAGTACTTTCATAATTTGAATAGTTTAAAAATGTATTCGGAATAGGGTTAACTTAATGTTTCCTGTTTAAGAAATAGAAAACATACGAATCTTCTCATTTCATGGGAACGACCTGAGACTGCAATTACGGCTTCAATTTTTGAATTGCAGAATAATTAGATGCACCATCTAGTGTATATAAGATATCTATGGTTACGCCACTAGCGCGCAATCGCTCTGGTATGGTTTTACTCCGTGAAATTTGTCCTTTCAGTGAATGTTATTTGTTTGTGAAAACCAGGTATTTCTTCATGGTGGTGTTGAACTGTGGTTAAGTGAACTATCACGTGTTCTACAAGAGACAGTGCATGATGCTGTAGTCAATTGTGTAGAAGATGCGAAGACCTTCAACTACATTGATGAAATTGCACAAAAGGTACATCGCAAAAAATATGATCTTCAGTTAATTGTATACTTGGAAGATTGTAGAATTATGTGAAATATGATTGGAGTGTTGAAGAAACAAATCGTTTGAAATTATGTCTCCACAGCACAGATTTCCATTTAATTATATACTTAGGAGATTGTAGAATTTTGTCTGCACAATTTTTTTGAAATTCTCTGTCCAGTTACCTATAACAGTAACACTTAACCAATAAGGGGTGGCCTTTTCCGTGACCTCAAGAGAGAATAGTTTAGAGTTGATAGAGCTATATAATAAAAGTAATTTTAATCCATATGTTTCAAATCAGTTAAATAACTTTTAGTATCCACCTCAAATCGCTTGCCTTGGTTTGTTGTACATGTGGACAAGAGAATGCGAGGCGGTAAGTTTCAACAATACCAACAGGCCAATATTGTAAAGCCTCGCATAAAAGAACCCGTGAATTTTGACTTCAGGCTGAAGTGGTTCTTATATAATCTTACTTCACACCATACTTTTTTCTATTCTGCACATTAATAGGGACTGTTGTTGCATAAAACTATTGCTATGACACAAAAAATGGTTTTCGTTACATATATCTAAACTTAAAGTACTATTTAAAATATGAGCAGCAGTGTTTTATCAGATTTAAAGATACGAGGCGAAGACGAGTATCTTTAGGTCTGATGTGACACGCCCTGCGAATGTTTTAAATTGCTTCAAATAATTTAGTAAGTTCATTGGCGAAGTAATTTTCAAAAAATACGTTGTCTAAGTTGAGAAAATCAAAGTTAAAGTTTATGTAAATCAAGGGAAATCTCTATCACATATAAAGATACGACACGCTTATGATTTTTCTTTGTGTTTTCCTCGTGAATTATTGATGAGTTTTGAATGGTTTCTAAAGATTCACCATGTATACTATCAATGTAAAAACTGAACTCTTACCATTATTGATTATTATAGATTTTCCATATGGTAAATTGGTAAAAACCATGATATTTAATATTTACCATTAATGGTATTTTCCTGTGAGCAGGAAAAAATAAAGTACCATTAATGTCAAATATTAAACGACATGGTTTTTACTAATTTACCATATGGGAAATCTATAATAACCAATTATGGTAAGACTTCAGTTTTTACATCCAAAAATCCATCAATGGAAAGTTCAATTGTTTCTTTATGTACTGTATGTACAGTTCCAATAATCGTATATTCACCTCTTCAGGGTATTGCTGACATTCGCATTGACAGAAAAGCATTACCGAACGCAATCCGACGTTTCTGGAGCATTCTCAGTAGACTACCTAACATTCTCATCAAGGGAAGCTGGAGAAATATTGACCAGAACTTGACTGTGGCAAGTCATGCCAAATTGGAGGCTTTGTTATCGGTAAGGTTGCACTGTATCCTGTAATCTTTGTTATAAATTGGTTGTAACTAAGCTCCCTTTTTAAATCGTATTTTTTGGCTTTCAGTACGGTATGTATTTACGAGATATCGTGGACGATCTTGGAAAACGTAAACTGAGGGATGTCACAGATTTCGAATGGAAACGAAACATGAGATTTTATGGAAATATATGTGAAGAAGGAAGTAAGTTGATGTTGACTTTCTGTTGTGTTTAACCCATTGAGCGCCAGCACTCAAATCTTACATCCCAGCTAAGAGCCTTACGCCCGTATTCTAAAAGCTCACTCACACTCGATGAGTGGAGGTTCAATTTGAGCTTCTCTCGAGTGTCAATGCTGTTTTTGAACAACTGGAGGGTGAGTGGTCCAGGCCTCGAATTTCCCTGAAATCAATCGACGGCAATGGCGTTAAAAATTGCCTTAGAACGTAACAGCTGTCTACGGCAATTTTGGCAGTTTCCGCGGCATTTTTCAATTATTGTTACTTTGGGTTTTTGACAAGCTAGAAACATGTCTACGTATTTCTTTAGTGTTTTTTTTTCGAAGAAAACTGAGACTAAAATAGTGATTTACGCATGATTTGATCAACATCTGAATTCAAGTTTCAAAGTAGTAATGCACAGTGAATAGTGGAAAAATTGCACTATACGGTAAAAAATTGCTGTCGTTGCCGCAATGATCCACGGCATTACGGCAATTGCCGCGATGAAATTCGAGCCCTGGAGTGGTCACATAGTAAAGTATGACACTAACCCTCCAGGCATTCGAAAACAGCAATGACACTCAAGAGAAGCTCAGATTGAACTTCCACTCAGTGAGTGTGAGTGTGAGTGTGAGTGAGCTTTTAGAATACGGGCGTAAGACTCTGCTTGTGGTCACTCATCTTGATTTGACTTTCCTTCGTGTTCAGGAGATGGCAAGCCTCATGCATTGCTTCATCTGCTGGAAAATGTCTTGGAATATGGCAATGAATTTTATGGATCAAGAATGCCCATCATTCTTACACCATTGACTGAAAGATGTTTCCTCACTTTAATAAAGGTATGGCAATTGCTACTATGTACTTCAGCCAAATAATGTTTTCTATTTTAACTTGTTGTGTTATTTTTAGGCAACGACTGAGTTTCAGTGTGGTGCCATTGTTGGTGAAAGCGGTACAGGCAAGACAGAGACAGCAAAGGTATCTGACAATGTAGAGAAGAACAATTCGTTGTCTTGTGGCGTCAACAAGTTGTGTTCGCACTGCTTGCCCCAAGTTGTCAACAAGTTTGGAACAAGCTGTTAACAACCTTGTTGATATGATCAGACTTGTTGCAAGGTTGTTCCAACAAGTCCGACACAGTCATGATATAACAGTATTGTTACAACCTTGTGTCGTCAACCTTGTAACATTCTTGTTATATCTTGACTGTATCAGACTTGTTAGAACAACCTTGTAACAAGTCTGAAATTGCCATCAAGCTTGTTACAAGTTGTTATAACAGCTTGTTCCAAACTTGTTACGACAATTGGGAACAAGCAGTGCGAACACAACTTGTCAACAGCCTGTGAACAGATAGATTTGTAGCAACTTGTTTGCAGACCTTTAACAACTTGTGCGTTTTTACGTGTGTAACTCGCATGTCTTTTAACATTGTTTCAGGGTCTGGCTCACATGTTGGGGCAGTATTTTGTCAGTTTAAGTTGTACACCAAAGATGGACTTTGGACAAGTTGCCAAAATCTTGACTGGTCTTGCACAAGTAAGTTGTCTACACAGATTTCCACCAGGAGGCAGAGGTTTCATTTTCTTGGCTGGATTTTGAGGGGAGATGCGCACCTTCCCTGAGATCGTTTTGCACCTCCCCTGAGAATTTTGCACCACCCCTGAAACGTCATGCACCTCCCCTTGGGAAAGTTTCAATGATAGATCGAAGTGAAAATTTGACATTTTTTGGTTGCTTCAGGTCTACGCTTTGTAAGAAAGTTTTCTCTGTAAAATTGAAACAGTGATAGCCATTCATCTCTGTGTCAAGTACCTTTTAATTCAATGATTCGAAAGAAACTTTGTAGTAATTGTAATGAAGGGCAAAATTGAATGAGTTGTACAGTCATAATTTATTACATTTGAACTGTATCCATTATTTCTATTATAGGAAGGCTGTTGGGGTATATTGGATGAATTTCACCATGCACCTCCAGCTGTGGTATCGGTTATTTTTCATTATGTACAAACTGTTATTGATGCTCTCAAAGTGGGGCAAACTTCATGTTATGTCAATGAAGGAAAGGAGGTTAGTCAGAATTTTACTTTAATTGAAAAATTTGCAATGTTTTCTTGCGGTCCTAGAATGTAAAATATTTTTTCCACCCCTGGGAACAACAGTCACAAAGAAAAAAGCGCATACAGTAACAAGTCTGCTACTATAGTAGCCTAATTTTTAACCCTGAAGATCTTTGCCATTCACATGTTGTACAGGACATCACACTGGAAAAAATTTTGAAAATCCATAGAAGGTCATAGCATGGAAATTGTATGGACCTTCATTGGAAATAGAATGGATTTTGGTTATCCATAATAATTGTATATTTCCATTTACTATTGATATAGTATCGAAATAGTATGGATATACTATGGATTTAGTGGTGCAATTGCAAATTTCATAGCATGGATTTCACTCTTTTTTCCAGCGACTTTGGTATATGTTTCTGAACGTTTTTCCTTCATTTCAGATCGTTATTAAACCTACGTTCAATATCCTGGTCACAGCCACGTCAGATAGTCAAGATTTCACCATGGTAACTGAACTGAAGGCATACTTTCGTACTGTTACTATGGTAATGCCAGATATGCCACTCATTCTGCGAGCTCACTGCGCAGGCCAGGGGTTGAAGTCTCCCAAAGTACTGGCTGATAGATTTACCATGGTTGCAAAAATTTGCCAAGCCCAATTGTAAGTCGATGTTTTTAACTGTAACTACCACAGTTACTCATAGATCATTTTCAAAATTACTGAAGCATACTCGAAATAACGGGCTGCCAATGGCCAAAAGCAGGCCATATTTTAGAAATGGCAGGCAAAAACAAATATGAACTGCCAAGTAAAAAAAACTGTCAGGTGAAATTCTACAGATATATTTCATTTAATTTGCTTACCACAACTCGTATATACTAGATCATTTAGTTGACTAAATACGTTTATATTTGAAATGTAAAAATGGCAGGCTAGAATGTATTTCATCTGCCAAAAAATTTGGACTGGCAGGCCATATTTTTTCTCTACTTTGAGCCCTGGTTCACACACAGATGGAATGTAGCCTGGACTTGAACCATGGCCAGAAATCACGGATATGATATATTCTACTCCCTTTGCTTGTGTTTATTTTAGAAGCAGTACTACAGCAAAAATATTCAGTCTTTCATCTTTAATCTCGGTCGTTAAAACATTGGGTGCGATACATCGAAGCCAAAATACCAACAATCAGAACAAGATTAGCATGATGACATCAGACTTTCAAATGCGACCAACAAGTAACACATCCAGTAAGTTACCCTTCTCAGTTCTCTTTAACCTGCTTTGCATAGACCCTTAAGGCCCATTTTCACACAAGGAAATTTTCCACGGACAGAAAATTTTCCGAAAATATCATTGTTAAAAGTTCAAGTTCAAAATCTTTTTCCGACGGAAAATTTGTGTTGGGCAATCACATTTTATAAAATTTTCTTTCTGCGGAAAAGGAAAGTTGTTGTAAGACTGTAACTACTATGATTACTTCAGGATTTATCTTGTATGCCTTGTCAGTGTTAAACACATATTGCTTCATACAACAAAACTTTAAGACAATTGCAAAAAAACATTTTTGTTATTTCCCCCTCTTATTGTACTCTTTCTCAAAAATATTTGAGCCCTAGACCCAAGTTCCCACAAAAAAAACACATTTTCACCTTTGAATATTAGTATGGAAAACTAAAGAATAAATTACGCCCACGCTTTAGTGCTAAGGTCGTCAAAGTTTACTGGTGATAAGGAGAAAAAAGCTGCTTCACCTTCAGGGCTGACAACAGCTGCAAAACTTGATCATTCTTGTGCCATGCAAGTATTACAGCAGTGTATTGGACCACGTTTATCTCAAGAGGTATGGATGTGAAAACTTAACTATATATATATCTCTAAATTGCTCTCCCTGAGGTCCAGTATAAGGCTCTCTTTCCCATATTGGTCCAGTGTTCAAAGGCCCTTATTCAGTAATTTTGACACATAATGTAATATTTCAAATCCGACTATGAGGACTGGACTAGAGGACTATTGGAGGACTATTGGAGGATAGACTGGACTATTGGAGGATAGGCTGGACTATTGGAGGATTTGAAATGACATTTCATATACGAATAAATCACTACTTAATTAATTTTGATCCAGTCCTAGGACTGGTATCCAGTATTATCATGTGAGCAAAATAAAGCAATATGGTTAGCTATTCTGTTACAATATTCAAATTATTTTCTTTTAGGATCTTGGTATATTTAATAGTGTGCTACGTGATGTGTTTAATGGCTTGCCCCGTCTTCCCTATGCAACTGACCAGCACATAATGAATGATCGGAGTTTTGAGTCATTGCTAATGAAATATGCTTCGGAGAATGGCCTGGTGGCTCGACCTCAGTGGATGGATAAAGTTCTACAGTTATATCATCTGTCTGAGAACAACCATGGTATGTGACTTATTCTCATAGCATCAGTGACTAGCATGACTGATTTGCAAGACATAACCTCTTGAAATATATGATCATAATGAATGATCATGAGCCGCATACATTTTGGCTTATTATTCATATATTGCGTATCTGAGAACAACCATGGTATGTGACTCGTTCTCGTAGCATCAGTGACTAGCATGACTGGTTGGCAAGACATAACCTATTTTCATTAGCATCAGTGACTAACATGACTGATTGGCAAGACCTAACCTCTTTTTGAACAAACATATGACATCTACAATAGAGATTACTGTAGACAGTGTTCGAAAATTAGAAATGTATCGCAAAGAATAAGATAATGGCATTTCTCGTGGGCATTAGGGTTTTACATACTCAATATCAGCATGTCGCTTTGCGAGTCCGCTTCAAACAATAATACTTAAAGCAATATTCAATGAAGATCCGGGTTTACGGATCGAAAGCTTTTCAGTAATAAATGTACGTGGTGTTTCCACAAACAAAAGTATTATAATACTTGAGGTGATAGTTGATTCGAGCTTCGCCCACCTCATAGAAATCTCGAGCTCGTAATCTAATTGTTAAGTAGTTATTAAAACCATCTCGCCAAAATTCTTTCGTCTGTAAATAGTGTGTAGACATTTGTGTAGACATTGTAACTTGTGTGTAAATTATGTTAGTAGTAAACCAAATTAAATTATTCAAATTATAACCAATCAGACCCTTGTCACAGAGTAGAAGACGCCTACTCTAACCACTGTGACAAAAGCATCCCCACACTGGTGTTGTGCTTTTATAGGTATTATAGTGGCTGGAGGCCCTGGCAGTGGAAAAACATCTTGCATTACGTCATTGGTGGAGACCTTAGCTCGCTGGTCATTGGTGAAACATGGCAATACTGGTGCCCAGGTTCACGCACACAAACTCCATCGTATCAACCCGCTTGCAGTCTCTGATCTCTCGCTGATGTTCGGCCAGCTGGGCCCTAATGGCGATTGGCTGGATGGAATATTTACGTCGTACTGGAGGAAAGCAAATAAGGAACATAATGTCCATAGAACGACCACTTGGTTATGTCTGGATGCACCTCTTCATCAAGGCTGGGCAGAGAATCTCTCTAGTGTTCTGGATAATGGCAAGGTGAGGACCTGCCATTATTTATGGGGGGGGCGGAAGTGAAAAGTTTTTCTTGGTAAAAATTTGCTGATCCAACCATTAAAAAGTTAAAACAAATTTTTAACCAACCTCGAATATCAATTAAAAAACCCATCCCTGGCCAAAAACTTTACAAAAGGATACTATTCAGTTGTCACACATGTCTTTTAACACTTCTGTGACATGAGTTTGATAACGACTTGTGCAATTTCCTGTAGTCTAAAGTTTCATGTTGTCTTGCACATGTACTTTCTTTGGAGACACCATCTGTTTGCTGAGAAATCGGAAAATGATCAAGATGGTGACTCTGATTAATTTACATATTGTATTGACATATGACTGTTGACATTGCTTTTTAGTCTTCAATATTTGAGTGAATCATACTTTGGAAATGACAATAAATTTTTATTACTCAACCCTTGAGTTGTGTTGTTTTTCATTTACCCAACCTTTTACTCACTCAAACTTTTTATTTTAACTAATTCTCGGGAGTCTATATCAAACTGAACACACATCTATCCTATATATACATAAATTGATTTTGATTTTTAGTATCTGACTTTGGAGAACTGTGAGCGACTTCACTTAGCTGATGACGTCAGAATCGTATTTGAAACGGATGATTTGGAAAATGCTTCACCTGCTATCTTATCTAGAACGGTATGTTGATCTGTCAATGTTTGGGAGAGTCATATTTGCAGCATACCTAATTCCTGTATCTTATTCCCAGGCAATGGTATTTATGGACGATGATGTACTAGGTTGGCAGCCCCTGGCTGAAGCTTGGTTGAATGAAAGAAGTTCAGCCATGGAACGAAAAGTAAGTCTTAGAGCTATGTTTGTGGAACCCGTTATTGGGGATTTTATCTCTGTGTGGTCATTCCAGCCATTGTGTGTAATTTATAGTTAGTTTATATCTTTAATAATGGCAAATTTGTAAAAAAAAAAATAAATTAAAAATTATGTTTAACTGGCAAATAGAGTAAGTGATATAATTATTGTGCAAACTCTTCAGGCATTTGTGGAAAAAATAATGTATTTTAAGAGGAGATTTTTTTGTATGTTACGTAACACGCGCTCAAAACTAATGAAGTGAATATACTTTTCTTCTTGGTTTTGACTATATTTCGATTTTTAAATTTTCGATACGTTTCTCAAGCGGCAAACAAATTTAAAAAGTATGTGTAGTGCTTTATCTGCAAAATTAAGCTAAAATGAAGATATTTTAGATGGTACGCCAGAGAGAAACTGATGTCTGAAGTTCAGTAAGTTTTGCTTATATTGCTGTAAATCATGGCGTCACTTTTAAACCATCAATGATAATTGTATTTTAATGGACACCTTGCATGTTAGACTAAATTTTAATCTAAGTAAAGAGAAGGGAATCAAACATCACAGCTACAAAGAACATAATTAAATGAGTAAATTGCAAAATTTGGTTGCAAAATGTTGTAAAATACAGAAAATATAGCCTTGCGAAGTTTGCATATTTTCAGTATGTTTATATTACGTGCGGAAATTGTTCCCATTTTCGGCGTAATACAAACATACTGAAAATATGCAAACTTCGCAAGGCTATATTTTCTGTATTTTACAACATTTCGCAACCAAATTTTGCAATTTTACTGATTTTAATAAGTTCTTTACGGGAATTTACTTTTTTTGCCTAAATTAAAAATTAGTCTAACATGCAAGTTGTCTATTGGAAATGATTTCCTATTATTTTATGTTTCTCAATCGGAAAATGCATTCAAAAAGTTGCTAACTGTATAAACTAGAGAATAAAGCTAAAACAAAGTAATTTTGAGGGGAATGCCAAAAATATTTTCGGTTTTGAACACTTTTCATCACAAATAAATAAACGTGAAAAAAATTGCTTTTTAACATGTTGTCTTTTTCTTATAGTGTCTCCAAAAGGCCTTCAACAACACGCTTGACCCCATGTCTCATTTTGTGCTTCACGATTCAAAGTAAGAATACTATAGGAAACTTTTTAATACAGGATTTTGGAATTTACAAATTTTGCTGTTCTAAATATGTTGGTACATATAATGGTAAGAAGAACTGTCAACCTTTCCTAAATATTATTTTAGACCACTCATGAGGATTTGTGAAGTGGGATTATTCAGTACATGTCTGGCTTTGCTTGAAGCTCTTATGCATGTAAGTTTGTGTAGATCTTTAATCATATAAAGGAGTGTGGTGGACATCTAAACTGTCAGGTAAAATTATGTAGATGTATCATTACATCAAGTATATGTAATATTTTGTAGAACAATACAGACATAAGTGGAGAGCTGCATATAGAGAGATTGTATCTGTTCTCATTAATCTGGTCATTTGGTGTTTTACTGGATGATCAAGATAGAAAGAAATTTGGGGACTTGCTTCTCACACTTACTACTGGGTAAGTTGGTAATTTGCATATACTGTACATCCAAGGAAGGGTAGCACACTTTGTTGGCTTGGAGGCAATCTGTGAATGGATGATTTGATCTAGACAAGAAAAACGAAACCATTACCATAGCTGGAAAGAGAATCTTAAAATGAGTACAATAGATGATTCCCCTTATTACGTTTTCGTAGCGCTTTGCATAGTGGTTATAGCGGTATCACTGATATTCAAGATGACTTATTTTTTGTCGCGACCCGTGCAAGAACTTTTAAAAGAGGGTGGGAAAGGGGGGTATGGATCACGTTTCACAAGGAAAAAAAAGCCGTTTCACGATTCACGTGTCTTAAAAAAGTAATTTCACGGAAAACTAGATTCTCATAAAATAATCTAATAATAATAGGTTTATTAAGACTATGTTTAATGCATGGTACAGTATCTACGGTTTAAGTTCTCTCATTTCTCTACCTGTCAGTTAAAAACTACATCATAACTTACAAATTTGAGTGCGTCTCCTCAGTGCCAGGAACCTTGTCCTCAGCGTCAGGAACCTTGTCCTCACTGCCAGGAACCTTGTCCTCACCGCCAGGAACCTTGTCCTCACTGCCAGGAACCTTGTCCTCGCCGCCAGGAACCTTGTCCTCGCCGCCAGGAACCTTGTCCTCACCGCCAGGAACCTTGTCCTCACCGCCAGGAACCTTCTCCTCAGCGTCAGGAACCTTGTCCTCTCTGCCAGGAACCTTGTCCTCACGGCCAGAAACCTTGTCCTCCTCGCCAGAAACCTTGTCCTCACCATCAGGAACCTTGTCCTCGCCCGCCAGGAACCTTGTCCTCACCACCAGGACCTTGTCCTCACCGCCAGGAACCTTGTCCTCACTGCCAGGAACCTTGTCCTCACCGCCAGAAACCTTGTCCTCCCCGCCAGAAACCTTGTCCTCCCCGCCAGAAACCTTGTCCTCGCCATCAGGAACATTGTCCTCCCCGCCAGGAACCTTGTCCTCACCGCCAGCAACCTTGGCCTCACTGCCAGAAACCTTGTCCTCACCGCCAGAAACCTTATCCTCACCGCCAGGAACCTTGTCCTCACCGCCAGGAACCTTGTCCTCACTGCCAGGAACCTTGTCCTCACCGCCAGCAACCTTGTCCTCACTGCCAGAAACCTTGTCCTCACTGCCAGAAACCTTATCCTCACCGCCAGGAACCTTGTCCTCACCGCCAGGAACCTTGTCCTCACTGCCAGAAACCTTATCCTCACCGCCAGAAACCTTATCCTCACCACCAGGAACCTTGTCCTCACCGCCAGGAACCTTGTCCTCACTGCCAGGAACCTTGTCCTCACTGCCAGGAACCTTGTCCTCTCTGCCAGGAACCTTGTCCTCTCTGCCAGGAACCTTGTCCTCACTGCCAGAAACCTTGTCCTCCCCGCCAGAAACCTTGTCCTCGCCCGCCAGGAACCTTGTCCTCACCGCCAGGAACCTTGTCCTCACCGTCAGGAACCTTGTCCTCACCGCCGGGAACCTTGTCCTCACCGCCAGAAACCTTGTCCTCACCACCAGAAACCTTGTCCTCATCGCCAGGAACCTTGTCCTCACTGCCAGGAACCTTGTCCTCACTGCCAGGAACCTTGTCCTCTCTGCCAGGAACCTTGTCCGCTCTGCCAGGAACCTTGTCCTCACCGCCAGGAACCTTGTCCTCACTGCCAGGAACCTTGTCCTCTCTGCCAGGAACCTTGTCCTCACCGCCAGGAACCTTGTCCTCTCTGCCAGGAACCTTGTCCTCTCTGCCAGAAACCTTGTCCTCCCCGCCAGAAACCTTGTCCTCACCATCAGGAACCTTGTCCTCACCATCAGGAACCTTGTCCTCACCATCAGGAACCTTGTCCTCGCCCGCCAGGAACCTTGTCCTCACCGCCAGGAACCTTGTCCTCACTGCCAGGAACCTTGTCCTCACTGCCAGAAACCTTATCCTCACCGCCAGAAACCTTATCCTCACCGCCAGGAACCTTGTCCTCACCGCCAGGAACCTTGACCTCACTGCCAGAAACCTTATCCTCACTGCCAGGAACCTTGTCCTCTCTGCCAGGAACCTTGTCCTCTCTGCCAGGAACCTTGTCCTCACTCCCAGAAACCTTGTCCTCCCCGCCAGAAACCTTGTCCTCACCATCAGCAACCTTGTCCTCGCCCGCCAGGAACCTTGTCCTCACCACCAGGAACCTTGTCCTCACTGCCAGGAACCTTGTCCTCTCTGCCAGGAACCTTGTCCTCACCGCCAGGAACCTTGTCCTCACTGCCAGGAACCTTGTCCTCTCTGCCAGGAACCTTGTCCTCACTGCCAGGAACCTTGTCCTCTCTGCCAGGAACCTTGTCCTCACTGCCAGAAACCTTGTCCTCCCCGCCAGAAACCTTGTCCTCACCATCAGGAACCTTGTCCTCGTCCGCCAGGAACCTTGTCCTCACCACCAGGAACCTTGTCCTCACTGCCAGGAACCTTGTCCTCTCTGCCAGGAACCTTGTCCTCTCTGCCAGGAACCTTGTCCTCACCGCCAGGAACCTTGTCCTCACTGCCAGGAACCTTGTCCTCTCTGCCAGGAACCTTGTCCTCACTGCCAGGAACCTTGTCCTCTCTGCCAGGAACCTTGTCCTCACTGCCAG